TTGTTGAATTACAGGTTAAACATGATAGTGTAGCATGCTTCCAGAAAGTTTTACGGTAGATATGTGGAGGGAACCATACATTCTCGATTGTTATCAGGTGAACAACTGACTAGCATTTGCATGTCTTCATGATAAAGACTTGCTGACGGGGCAGGATACGCCCACCTTTTTGCGATATCTGGTATCATCACTTTTTTAAGTGTCTTTTAAACACATTCTCATTATATAGTCAGAGTTGTTCAATGATATCCAGAAACCTCAAGATCCTTGGAACTTTCACCTAATGCCTTCCATTTGATGCCTGATGTCTCTGCACAGTGAATGTGTGCATGTGAATGCAATACAGGAATAAGGAAATTGTTATCTCGATACAAACTTGATAAAATGGATTTCTTATGATACTGCATTTGAATGTCGTCTTGTTAGAGAGTTTATCAATGTAGGAAAGTTTGAGATGTGTGTGTGCAAGATTGAAATGGTGTATACATGGTTTAAGGTATGTGCTGAAGCTTGAATGTGATATACCGTACTTACTCTAGTTGGCGTGTCTATTCTGTTTAATGCTAACACAGTTGTGGTGTGACCTAATTCCAATGTACAAGGGTACATATGCTGGAAATTAACTCTGTACATCATAAGATAATGTTATAGAGACAGTTAGTTTCATCTAATGGCATCAGGAAGAGATCCAGCTTTTAGTAGAAGCCCAGCTTCTGGTTTTTGAACGTGATCCAGCATCAATCCAGGAAAATGACGAGTCTTGAGAAAGGTCTCGGGTCTAACTTGAGAAATGCGAAAACTGGTGTTTTCTGTCTCAACATTGTGATCATAGCAATCCTGAGTGAATCATATATATTTCATTCGCAATGTTTTCGGATCAGCTTGTTTTGACAACATACAGATCTGATGTGGCGTAAGTTATAACGTGACTATATTTTCAGGGTCGAGGGCCTTTAGGAGCAGCTTTGAAGGCGAGGTTTTTAGGATTTCGGAAGATCTTTGCGGCAGATGCCACATCATCCCCCGAAACGGAAGCCTGTCCCAATTCAAGACCAAGACCCACTCAAAGTAAACAAGCGAAGGATGAATCAGGTGAGAGCAGTTATATTCCTCCTCCTGTGCAGGCCAACATTGGAAGGATGTTTGTTTGTTTGTTGATTAACGCTGCAGTCAGCAATATTCCAGTTATTATGGCTGCAGTCTGTAAATAATGGAGTCTCGACCAGACAATCCCATGATCAACATCATGAGAATCGATCTACACAATTGGGATATGATGACATGTGTCAACCAAGTCAGTGAACTGATCAGTGATCCTGGAGACATAGATCATACATTTTCATGATTGTGGTGACGTTAACAGATTTCTGAAATCTGTACTTTTTGCTGTAGATAACTAAATACAGATGAGTGAGTGAGTGAGTTGTGTGTTTTACGCCGCTTTTAGCAATATTCCAGCAATATCACGTCTGGGGACACCAGTAATGGGAGTAACACACATTGTACCCATGTGGGGAATCGAACCCGGGTCTTCAGCGTTACGAGCCAACGCTTTAACCACTAGGCTACTCCACCGTCGATGAATACAGTTGAAGGTTGGATCTGTTCGGACATTGCTATAAACATTGCCATCAGGATCATCTCATGATGGTTGTCATTACTGTTACAGGATTTTGTGATATTTGTTTTATGTGTGGAACAGAGATCGTTTTGTATTGAGTGTCAGGATTGACTATAACCTGATGACACCATTAGCTAAAATCTTACTTGTTCATTTTCTTCATTCTATGGCCTTGCTTCTTTCATCAGATCAGACTCAAGCTGAACCAGGCATTTGCTGCAATTCAGAAGTATGTCCGACATCGCAGTGATCCGATTCAGGAGGAAGTCGAGGACAGACAGAAGGACTGGGATACTGTCTCTAGTAAGTTACTCTTAACATTTCACCTAACTTCATCATCCTGAAAGAGAATCCAGACTGTAGATTGGCATGTTTGACCAGTGGTTAAGATGAAGCATGAAAGGCAAAGTGTCCTTAGGGGTGTCAAGATGAAGACGTGTGGATCTTTAGATTGTAATACTGTGGCAACTGAAAGTATGGACACAATGGTCCTCAGATTTAATGCATTACCCATCACATCATAACACAAAGCTGGCCCTGTGTATGTGGCTTCAGATGCCTTTTCCCCTGCATGCAGGATGTTGACTGGGTTTGACAGTCCCATACCCCTGCTCCTGGGGTTCACCAAAGTGGTATTTACATTACTTTGGGTTTTCGTCCACACGAAGCAGATGCTTCATGATATCAATTTAATCGTATTTCATGGCGTTTTCGTTTCATATGTCTACAAGAAAAAATAGCATCCTCCTGTACATGCACTGCTTTAAAGACTTTCACTTGATTCTCTTGAATAAATGTGACCCAAACCCCATCTTTTCTTTATATGTTCTTTATTTTTGTTTTGTTTTCTATGCCCACCAATCAAATATTGAAGCTGTATGACATCTGTGTAATCAAGACCAGATGATACAGTGATTAACAACATGAGCATTGATCTTTTTCAGTTAAGATACAATGGCATGTCAGGTCTCTGAGCTTGAACACTCTGTGACCTCTCATGACTAGCATAGGTATCTGGGGAATTGTATCTTTATACAGGATTCTCCATGGGTTAAACAGTGACATATTCCCCATGTTATTCCCTGGAGTTAAGTATGTAATGCTTTATCCCACACCTCAGTGTAGAACCAACCCGTGAAGATCCGAGTTAGAATTGTCTTCAGCAACCCATGCTTGTCGTAAGAGGCAACTAACGGGATCGGGTGGTCAGGCTCCTGACCTGGTTGACACATGTCATCATATCCCAGTTGCATAGATTGATGCTCATGCTGTTGATCACAGGGTTGTTTGGCCTAGATTTGATTATTTACAAACTGATGCCATATATCTTGAATATTGCTGAGTGTGGCGTTAAATAACAAACAAACAGTGTAGAACCTCAGCTGGATGTTTATCCTAATGCACGTTCTGATTTACTACTTGACATGACATGTCCAGGGTTCTGTTTACCCAGGAATTCACAAATGCATAGTGAATATTTTGGATCTTTTTTCATGCCATGCATGATTAAATATTGAAAGGGATGTAACTCTATGAACTGATTTCAAGGAAGAATTAAAGAAGCAGGAATCTGGCATTTATTGATATAAGACCCAGAAATATTGATAGCTCGAAATAAAGTAATATTTCACAATATAATGACTGGTATACATTAAAACAACTCATCCAACTTACTCAAGATAAAATCTGTTCTGTAAAACAAAGAAATAAAACAGGCCATGTTCAGACTGTATGTGACAAAAATAGATAAATGTATACAAGAAAAACTTATAAACGTTATCTACCAAAGGTCACATGACCTAGTTTTGCTGCCATGCCATAACATGACCTGTGCACCATAGGTATATATGTTGTAATGGCAAGGAAAGTAATCCTCAGTCCAGTCAAGCACGACGTGATTCACCTGTTTGTAGGTGGTTGACAAATGGAGGCTACTCGTACGCAGTTCTATTGAATTGATGAATCACCACGACGTGAAGGGGGGTGTATTAACTGCATGGTGTGCCTTCATACATTATAGGGTGTGCATGGGAGCTTGTTTGGAGTTATTGGGCTTGTGATCTGAGATCTGAGTTTTACACATGTTGGAGCTAGGTTGGCTGTTGACAGTGATTTTGTGGTAAGATTGAAGAGTTGTGAGGGCAAGGTATTGTGTGGGTGACAGGTTCTTTGTTTTATTATGATCTGATGGGACAGTAGAGATCCTCCTACAGTTGTCAGCAAGAGTGCTGGTACTTTTTTTACTGTTGCTTTCCAGCTTGTAAATGTCAGTCAAACAGTTGGAGAGCTGTTTAGCTTGTGTTGGTACTTGTGATTCTGGTGAAAGGTTTTAGATGGGATGTTCATGTCAGTCAAACAGTTGTAGAGGTGTATAGTTTGTTTTAGAAATTGTGATTTTGGTAAAGGTTTTAGATGGGATGTTGATGAAATGTAAACATCTTGTTTAGTTCTTATTTTTCACTATATGTTTACAATATCACATGTCTTGTCCTGTTGTTGAGATAACACAGAGTTTTATTTTGATGCTTATACTCTAAGTACTAGGAGACAAGGAAGTGTATGACAATGACACAAGGTATACCAGCATGTATTCAAGGTCAAAGGTGGATCTGCATTAACCACGTTAACCCTTTGTATATGGTAGCTTTACCATCTTCATGTTAGTCATGAACAATATAATGGGCCCATTGGACCATGTCAGACAAATTGAGCCCTCCCTAACCTTTCTGTTTCCAGGGCCTCAATCATTTGAGAAGCTGGTCCACTACAAGTTCTTTGTGTGGATTCTATAGGTAGATTCAATTAAAGCAAACTGTCGTTGGTTTGTTTGCTCTTGCCTTTCAAGGGTTAAGTTGTTATCAGGTCAGACGCACGCTCTTGGGTATCAGTATCAACTATCAAAAAAGTTTTCGTTGTAGATGATCGCAATGACTGGGTGAGATACCGTAAGGGTGATTGTCATGGGGCTAGTGGTTATGGCGATGGTGCATGCTTTAGTGATGACTTGTCCTGGGGGAATGTGATACTACTTGACATTGTTATAACCATGTTCTGATTTGGCTGGAATGTGACGATAAGTGCAGTGAAGGGATCTTCTCTGTGTTTGGGTGGACCTGTTTATTAAGGATCTTCTCTGTGTTTGTTTGGACCTGTTCATTAAGGATCTCTTTGTTTGTGTGGACCTGTTTATTCTATGTGCTTGTGAAGTATCAAGACCTTTGTGTAGGACACTAAACTTGTGTCATATTTGTTGTGCTAAGATAAGGGGAGTTCTACTTGTTGTGTCAAATGTCAGTGGCAGTGTTCCATGTGTTATCTGTATTAAACAAGCCACCAACATCATGGCTTGACTGTTGGTAGATTTGATAGTTCGCTGAAGGAGTCAGCGTAGATGTTTAATCAGAAGAAGGATCAGACAGTTGATTGGCAGTTGAGTTCAGAGGGCAGAGGAAAAAGGTTGACATTCATATTCTGGAGAGTGGAGTACTTCCATATATTGCTTTCACAGTGCTGAGGAAAAGGCTTGACATTCATATTCTGGAAACTGGAATACTCCATATATTGTTTTCACAGTGCTGAGGAAAAAGCTTGACATTCATATTCTGGAAACTGGAATACTCCATATATTGCTTTCACAGTGCTGAGGAAAAAGCTTGACATTCATATTCTGGAATACTCCATATATTGCTTTCACAGTGCTGAGGAAAAGGCTTGACATTCATATTCTGGAAACTGGAATACTTCCATATGTTGCTTTCACAGTGCTGAGGAATATTCTTGACATTCATATTCTGAAAAATGGAGTGCTTCAATATATTGTTTGTAACAAATTGATGTGGTACAGAGCTTGACCATGTGGCCCCATCTGCCAATAGGAAGGATGCTTTGACAATGTGTACTGCAGCAGACGACACAAGCGACAGACTTCACACGTTTTGCCTATTTGAGGAATTCAGACAGGATCATTGTGTGACACCCTAAGCATCAGGCTAACCGGCACATTTGAGTGACGTTAAACAGCTACCTGCTGGTCCTGTCTTTACGCTTGAAGAATCAGAGCATTACAAATAGAATCCAAGTGTTGTTAGTGATGGCTCATGACTATAAGCAGAAGAAAGTCTTTAAGGCTGGTCAGCTTGACATTCATGTCAAACCTGTAACTGGTCATAACAAGGAGGTGTCAGCATTACTGTCACCTACTAGAGAAAAAGGAAGGTACCTGAAGAATGTTCCTGGCAAGGTCAGTAATGGATCTGGTGTTTCCCGGGCTGCTGCTGGTTATGTGTCACCCTTTGCAAAACTGAATGACACTGGGACAAGTATCTACCCGAGTCAGTGGTGCAGTGTCTCCCCGAGGTACAGAAACAGTGCCTCCCTGGAGTAGGGGAGCAGTGTCTACTCGAGGTAGTGGCGCAGTGTCTCCCCGAGGTACAGAAACAGTGCCTCCCTGGAGTAGGGGTGCAGTGTCTCCCCGAGGTAATGGTACAGTGTCTCCCTGGAGTAGGGGAGCAGTGTCTCCCCGAGATACAGAAACAGTGCCTCCCTGGAGTAGGGGAGCAGTGTCTACTCGAGGTAGTGGCGCAGTGTCTCCCCGAGGTACAGAAACAGTGCCTCCCTGGAGTAGGGGAGCAGTGTCTCCCCGAGGTAATGGTACAGTGTCTCCCCGAGGTACAGACACAGTGTCTCCCTGGGGTAGAGGAGCAGTGTCTACCCGAGTTAGTGGGACAGTATCTCCCCGAGGTACAGAAACAGTGTCTCCCTGGGGTAGAGGTGCAGTGTCTACCCAGGGTACCGAGTCAGTTTCTAAACAATTTAGAAATGGTTTTGCAAAGACGACAAATGTCAGTGAAATTGTTGCAAAAATGGAGTCAGGGGGAAGTGGTAAATTGAAGTCACAAATAAAAAGCTTTTCAACTTCAAATTTGATAGATATTTCGGAGAATGATTCCTATAGCCAAAGTACAGGACAAGACGGAAGTCTCTGTTTGGAGATGTTAGTGTGCAGCAGAAGATAAAAACATGGGAGAAGTTCAATGAAATTTCAGTCAACAACAATTCAACAATCCTGAAAAAGCAAAATCATGAAATTACAGGAGAAAGAGACCTTAAACCTGCCCGTCCAGGTATATTGGAGAGATTCAGTGGAGAATCCACTGTCGATAAGTATGTGTCACAGACAGCAGCTGATCGAAGATCTCATGAAGGAACTAAGTTTGATCAAAGAACAAATGATTGGACTAAGCTAGATCGAAGATCTCATGAGGAAACTAAGGTAGATCGAAGATCTCATGAAGGAACTAAGGTTGATCGAAGATCTCATGAAGGAACTAAGGCAGATAAAAAACTAATGATTGGACCAAGGTAGATCTAAAGTCTCATGAAGAAACTAAGGTTCATCGAAGTTCTAATGACTATGCTAAGTTAGATCAAAGGTCTAATGATTGGACTAAGGTAGATCGAAGACCTGATGACAAAACTAAGGTAGATCGAAGAGTTAAAGATTGGGATAAGATAGACCATAGATCTAATGATTGGAATATGGAGGATCAAAGATCTCATATAAGGACTAATGAAGATCAAAGATCTAATGAGTTGACTGTGGTAGATAGAAGATCTCTTGAAGGGAATAAGGATGCATATATCTCAGACGGTAGTGAAGAGTATTTAAGCTCAGGAAACGGTCACAGGGAACCAAGCAAAGAGTTGAAGCATTCAAGTTATGTTGACATCAATTCCAATGTTTTGCATGGCAAACATAGGGACCAACGCAGCAATACCTGGACACCTCAAAGTAGTAAATCCAGTCTTTCAGAAACATTTGGATCTGACACATTGAAGAAGAAAGTGAAAAAGAAATCATCTCGGAGTAAGTTCTATGTTTCTGTGGATGATCCTGAAGATGTTGGTTTGGATGATGAGGTTGGCCTTCCTTTGAGTCGTTCCATGAGTGAACCAATTCTTGACAAAGTGGAAGAAGGAGTACATGTATATGAAACTATAAAATCAAAAGGTCCAGACACAGATCATGGTGTCATCGACAACACAGATGGGACATATCAGAGGGTGTTTTATAAAGAACAAAGATCAGGGTCATTAGGCAGTAATGCTCTTTTGGCAAAGAATAATTGGAGTAACCATATTTATGATATACCTTACCAAATCACAGACTTTGAGAAGCAACAGTATGGGCAAGAAAGTTTAGGTGAGTTCAACAGTATGGCTGTTACTGTACCGTGTGTGTGCATAGTTTGAAACAATATTAATGTTCCCAGATTTTGTCCAGAAATGATGTGTGACAGAGTTGCCAATCTACCCCATGGTGAAAATGGTTGTCAGCTGAAAATGCCACCTATCCTTCCTGAATTCCAGGGATGTCAGTGGCTGTGACGTCACAATATCCTGTGTTAGTCTAAGCAGGTATGTCTTAGACTGTGATGTCACAATACCCTGTGTTATTCTAAGCAGGTACCGTATATTACCGTCTATACGACGACCCCATGGATAAGACGACCCCCAAACTTGACCCTTAAACTCAGTGTCAAAATGGTATGTTTCATGCATAAGTCGATCCCCCGCGATGGGGTCCTAATCGCGGCAAACACAGACCACAGACAACTGGCAGTTACCAATAATTATAACTTTGGTCCACATTATTCAAAGAATTCACAATCATATAGATCTATATTGCGTCTACTCACGGATCGAAATGAAGTGTAGTTGACAGAAAATGCATAATATATTTTGTTTCTCTAAATATCATATTTATTGTAGCAACAAACTTTGCCCCATTCAACAATCACGAACTGATTACCACCTCATTTTCCATTGACTGGTAGTTTACAGTAACATCGGTAAAAATGTGTGAATTTAAATGGCTTCCGTATTTTACCCCATTTCATGTGCGTACAACTTCTGCCTACCACGTTCATGAGGGTCCGTATAACGTTAGTGTTGATTATATATATTTTACATAAAAACTGTAATTAAAATTACACAATACTAGGTTATATTTCTTTGGGTTAAATAATAGTTCTCTGTATTATATTTTACTGACGACTGCGTCAGAATTCGTCCCGTTATATTATTGTGCATGTTTGAACTTGTTCGCTGCTGATTGCTATTTCCGGCTCAAATACACACGGTAATCTTAATCTTAATTAATTTATGGAGCAAAAACTGTATTTAAAATTACACAATGCCAGGATATATTTCTTTGGGTTAAATAATAGTATTCTGTATTATATTTTACTGATGACTGCGTCAGAATTCGTCCCGTTATATTATTGTGCATGTTTGAACTTGATCGCCGGGAAACATGTGCACAGCTGATTGCTATTTCCGGCTCAGATACACACGGTAATCTTAATCCCTGCAAATAATACAATGCCCAGCAAAAACAACTTATAACTTAAAAGGTAAATAATCTTGTCTAGTGATAATTAATTGCAAATTTGACGTCTCTACTGACAAAGTCGTCTTCTGTTGTTTGTTCACACGAAGTGATACGATGTTGTTTTCTTACCCCTGGAAAAAAGTTTGACGAAAGCGTAACCCATGGATAAGACGACCCCCTTCTACAGACTGCTTTTTTTGGTCCTCAAAATTCGGGCTTATAGGCTTATAGACGGTATGTATAGACTGTGATGGTATGTCTTAGACTGTGATGTCACAATGTCTACCCTGTGTTAGTCTAAGCAGGTATGTCTTAGACTGTGATGTCACAATCTCCCCTGGCTGTGATGTCTACCCTGTGTTAGTCTAAGCAGGTATGTCTTAGACTGTGATGTCACAATACCCTGTGTTAGTCTAAGCAGGTATGTCTTAGGCTGTGATGTCACAATACCCTGTGTTAGTCTAAGCAGGTATGTCTTAGACTGTGATGTCACAATACCCTGTGTTAGTCTAAGCAGGTATGTCTTAGGCTGTGATGTCACAATACCCTGTGTTAGTCTAAGCAGGTATGTCTTAGACTGTGATGTCACAATACCCTGTGTTAGTCTAAGCAGGTATGTCTTAGGCTGTGATGTCACAATACCCTGTGTTAGTCTAAGCAGGTATGTCTTAGACTGTGATGTCACAATACACTGTGTTAGTCAAAGCAGGGATATATCTGACTGTGACGTCCCAATACCCTGGGTTAGTCTAAGCAGGTATGTCTTAGAATGTGATGTCACAATACACTGTGTTAGTCAAAGCACATATGTTTTTGTCTGTGACGTCCCAATACCCTGGGTTAGTCAAAGCAGGGATATCTCTGACTTTGACGTCCCAATACCCTGGGTTAGTCAAAGCAGGGATGTTTTAGGCTGTGACGTCCCAATACCCTGTGTTAGTCAAAGCAGGGATATCTCTGACTGTGATGTCACAATACCCTGGGTTAGTCAAAATAGGGATATCTCTGACTGTGATGTCACAATACCATGTGTTGGTCTGTGATGACACCAAGTGTTAATGACAAGGGGGAGCATCTCCTGCCCCTGAGTAGTACCTGGCAATCATTTACATATAAAGTAAGGATTTGTTGCTGTATACACCTACCATGCGTTAATGGCCTGTAAGCAAATCATTCAAGTGAGTTGTTGATTGACCAGATAATCCAATATTACACTTTCACAGATTTTGTTGATATGTTACCGTTGAATTGTCTGTTGTGTTCAAGGGTAGAGATTCACAAGGTCTAAATATTTCTCAATTGAATTCCCTTGTCCATGACACCAGTCTTATGACTGCCATAACACTTCTTGATTAAACAGGAACAGGAACACGAACATAGACATTTAAATACCTAGTGCAATAATGTAAGCATCATTTGGACCTTAAGCATGATGGATCCCATTAATGATTTAAACAATTAGCGTTGGGGTTTATTTTTTCTTACACTATTGGGGTTTATTTTTTCTTACACTATTTATATCTATATTTATCTTGCCTCACACATAAATGTCGTTTTCTGATTGCCTGAGCGATCTTCTGTTATTTTCGAGCTCAGGGAACATAAACAAACTTAGAGGGTACATCAGCTCATGTCCCCCTCATGACCAGTGAACAGCTTATAACATCTGTGTATATATATAATGTCTGTGACAAAATAACCTGACTTGACCATGTGCCAAAATGGATTCTGTTGGGTGCAAAAGGCAAACTGAGTGGTAAGAATCTCTGAGGGATCATCTTGTATATAGAATTTGTATTCATGAACACATGGGATGAAGTGATTGATGAATACAGTAAACTATGCTTATGATGAACATACTGATAGATATGATGAACATACTGATAGATATAATGAACATACCGATAGATATGATGAACATGCTGATAGATATGATGAACATACTGATAGATATGATGAACATAGTGATAGATATGATGAACATACTGGGGGATATGATGAACATACCGATAGATATGATGAACATGCTGATAGATATGATGAACATACTGATAGATATAATGAACATACTGATAGATATAATGAACATACTGATAGATATGATGAACATACTGATAGATATGATGAACATACTGATAGATATGATGAATATACTGATAGATATGATGAACATAGTGATAGATATGATGAACATACTGGTGGATATGATGAACATACCGATAGATATGATGAACATGCTGATAGATATGATGAACATACTGATAGATATGATGAACATACTGATAGATATAATGAACATACTGATAGATATGATGAACATACTGATAGATATGATGAACATACTGATAGATATGATGAACATACTGATAGATATAATGAACATGCTGATAGATATGATGAACATACTGATAGATATGATGAACATACTGATAGATATGATGAACATACTGATAGATATGATGGACATACTGATAGATATAATGAACATATTGATAGATATGATGAACATACTGATAGATATGATGAACATACTGATAGATATAGTGAACATACTGATAGATATAATGAACATACTGATAGATATGATGAACATACTGATAGATATGATGAACATACTGATAGATATAGTGAACATTCTGATAGATATAATGAACTGTTCTTTGGTCCCAGTCAACTGCTGCATGTTTGAGTCCAAATGCATGTAACAAACCATGGTTATAATAAACTAAAATCAAGTTTAAGACTATACAGCATGTATATGAGGCTGCTAGACCTACAGGATAAACTATCTAATGCTGCTCTCTCGGCAGCACAAACACTGAAGAACAAAGGAAATTCTAACATCCCGTATGTTCCATGAACAATTTTGTAAACCTAGAGAGCCTGGCTTTATCCTTTGAAGTAGTCAGCCCAGCATAGATGTTGTAACACTGGAAACCATTCCACAGAGTGATTATTGGATCATCATAGCACTGTAATCTCTTTGGGGAATGGGCATTCAGATACACATATTGAAAGTAGGATACATTTTGTGTTAAACTGAGTGAGTGAGTTTAGTTTTACGCCACTTTTACCAATATTCCAGCAATATCACGGCGGGGGGACACCAGAAATGGGCTTCACGCATTGTACCAATGTGGGGAATCAAACCCAGGTATTCAGTTGACAATCGAACGCTTTAACCACTAGGCTACAAACACACACACCCCCCACAACCCCCCCCCAACCCCCTGTATTAAACTGAACCCACGTGATAGAATTTCCCACATAATTTTGTTTCCTTGTCAGTCTTGTTGTAACTCAAAACCAGCGAGTCTCTAACATCTTTTAAGACTGGCCTCAAAATATTTCTTTTCAAGTGTCAATTTCCATCTTAAGCGCACAGAACATTTACTAGTGAATGATGCGATATTTAAATGCAATTATTAAATTATTATGATTATATGATTTATGGACCTCTCCATTTAACAAGCTTTCCTGCCATAAATCTATTACAATCAATACATGTTTGACAGACTATTTCTGTTGTCCAGTGTAGTCAATAAATTTGCTTGTCACGCTGAAGACCCAGGTTCGATTGCCAACATGGGTACAATGTGTGAAGTCCATTTCTGGTGTCCCCTGCCGTGATGTTGCTGGAATATTGCTAAAATCCGGGTAAAAGTAAACTCACTCACTCACTCATTGAAGGTGAGCTTCAGTACCTGAAATGTTATTGTGTTCTTGATTTGGAGTTGTTGGTGGTTTTTTTTAAATATTGTGAGATATAAATTTCTTTTTCTACTGATCTTGGATGCTTCTGTACCTCAAAGTGGACAATTAACTACATGTACATTATTAACTGCTTACATGTACAGTAAGAAAATTACATGTTTTTTTGACAGTTGACTCCGACTTTGTGGATGTGTCTGAGATTCAGCGTCGGGTGGAGTATGTCAGCAGTGTCAAGGCCAAAACAGTGAGTTTTTCAATCACAGCTTTTTTCATATATTGTTAAGCACCTTCCTGGATTCTGGGCAAGAATCTAGGTCTACCTCAACTCATGCTTGTGAGAAATGACCGATTGGATCAAGTCAGGCTTGGTCTTGTGGAGACTTGATTATTTACAGATGAAATATAGCTTGAAAATGCTGAATAGAGTTCTGCACGACAAACAAACAAACAACATTAAGGAAACATTATTATGTAGGCCGTAAATCATGCTCAGGGCCCATTCTTTCTGAATGATGTCATGAAAGCACCCTTATGCATCCAAATGATCAGAATATGTCCCCAAGAACTTCCTTTTGTCCAAGTGGGATTAGTGGGTTAGGATCTGGGACTTGTCTGAGACCACGTCATTTTTCTCTGATAGCATCAGACGTGTGAAGACCCGGTATAGAATTGGCCTTCAGCAACCTATACTTGTCATAAGAGATGACTAACCTGATAACATGGTCAAACTTGCCGATTGGATTGATGCATGTTTTGATTGTGATTCCTAAACACATGCTTAATTCATTAAACAGTTAGCCAGTTTCCACGATGAAAATGTAAGACACCAGAAATAGGCATCACATATTCAGGGTTTTACATGATGCCTAATTCCTGCGTATTTCAGGCTTGACCTAACTTTTATGAGTGACCCTCAGAATTCAGTTCAGGGTCAATAAAATTGATTTGATAGGCAAACAATGATAGCTTTCGTGAGGTCTTCATATTAATTTAGATATTTCTTTCAATTCATGTTAATAACTGTATGTTACAGTGAATAAATCCCAAGCCTGATTATTTGTTCAGTATACTGGAGTTTGTTATGACTGAACTGAACAGTGAAAAAGATACTATTTATTAACTAACATATAAATGACAATACAACACAAAACAATAAAATCTTTGTAAAATTCTTGCTTTTTGATATACACACATAAATATTACGCTAAAATTTTCATGACTCCCAGATATTGAAAAGGACTCCCCAAAATAAATACTGTGGGTCACCATGACTCTCATTTTTCAAAGTCTGTGTAAAACCCTGCACATTGTACCCATGTGGGGAATCGAACCCGTGTCTTTGGCGTGACCAGTGAACGCTTTACCCACTAGGCTACGCCACCGTCCGTAAACCCATGTAATGTGGCTACCTTCCTTTCACTCTATAGTGATCAAGTTTAGCGACTGGCCTTTAGTGTTTTAATGGAGACTACAGGGTCTTCTGGCTGAAAAAGTGGCTCCCAAAACTCCACAGCCTAATGGCTTAGCATTACCTGCTCTAAATGATGCCTTACTTTATTGGCTTAAGCCATGAGGTCACTAAAATGTCATACTGCAGATAGCATTCTGATGATCCATCTCAATCACTTTTTCCTTGAATCTTATGGTTATTATAAGGGTAATGCTATTTTTTAGGGCATTATCATTTGCAGAAGCCTGCGGTGTTCCATTAACTGCCCGACGAAGGAGGGCAGTTGAAAAAGACAGAGGGCTTCTGCAAATGATAATGCCCTAAAAAATAGCATTACCGTTATTATTGCTAAAATACATGGAATATGTGTTGAAAAGAAAAAGGAAACAATGAAGGAATTTGACTGTAAGTTTGCTCAAAACCAACCTCTGACGGGGTTGACTGACTGAATGCAATTACGTCATCGAACAATTCAAGTGACGTCACAACAGAAAGTGACGATATTCAACCTTGGCCTTTGACAAGACCATAGCCTGCAACATGTCAAACTATGTCTGTGTTCGGTTTTGGTCCATCAACAGCCTTAATCGTGCAAATGTTAAGGTTAGCACCAACAAGAAAACCACTATTATCGCTATTTAAAGCGGGAATTCAGGTTGCTTTGACTTGTTTGACCCAGAATATCTGCCAGTTCAAAGCCAATGTCGAATGAAGTGTAAGCCCACGCACCCACTAAGACATCACTTGATAACAGAACTGATAGTGGCCCATCCTTAAGGTTGATCGGTCCAATATCATTTGCAGCGGGGATAATGGGAGGGCCGTTTCATGTATTTTATCTATAATGTAGGTTAGAAGAGTTCCATAGCAACTTAGGCTATCAATATAGACGACTTAACAGGTGGTCAGGCTTTGTGACATATTTGATCTTTGCCTTCTGATTGCTTGTCATTGTACCACCGTGACATGGATGGTTGGTAAACAAACGTTTTATCAAACTCAAAGGGACCAGTCATTTTACTTTGTTATAACAGTAGTTCATTATATGCATTTCAACTATAATCTACAGTAAGTCGACAAGACCAAAAGAATAGTTCATTATATCATTTCAATATGTTTGTATTTGTTATAACCCTAGTTATGTAACTGTAATATTAATCGTTAGATTGTCTGGTCCATGCCATCATGATATAGCCTGTAAAAATCTTAGTGTGGTGTTACAAAAAAACAAAAAATTTAACATTTTGCTACATACATATACGATGCCGTCCGGTAATTCCATGCACCTAAGCACATCGATCGCAACACGGCAACTAACATCTTAAGATTCTAATGTTGCATTATGCCATACGGTTGACATTACCGGCGTTCTGATGACATCGCTTGCTGTCCGGTAATTCTGAACAGCAACTAATGCGCATAACATCCAGTTGGAGATCCGAAGTATGGAAGCGTATTAGGGCCAGATTATTTTCAAAAATCACTTCATCAATGTAAGGAAGAGTGTTTCATATTAAATCCAATTATGAATAATGAAGAAAAAGGTTTGAAAGTCTGAAGAAAACAAATTTTCATAAAACTGTCAATTTACCTGTCAATTACTGTTATTTGCTTACCTTTAGTGATTAAGAGCCAGTCCCTTGTAGAAATGTCCCGATTTCAAGCGTAAATGTGGTAGCAGACGATGTTTACCTTCGATACGGAAGTACGCTATTGCAGCTGCGCCAGAATTATCGGACTCGCTTGTATGCTATGAAGAGCCAGATCTCACCAAACCCCAACCAAACCCAATGGTCATTAAATTAGTGACACAATTATGTTTTGTTTATCTTGTAGTTGGAAGTAAATATATACACCTGTGCATTAATTATGCACCACCCTATTTTGAAAATAAGATGTGATGCTTCAGAAAAGTTAGGGTATAGCCATCAATTTAATCAACCTGTAGTTAAAGAAGCTTTATCCACTGACAGTTTTACAAATACCATAACCTATTCTATCCGTTATGAAAGAATATGTTGATGAAAATGTGATGGGACTGAATTTGTTCCCAAAATAACTATTCCTCTCCTGCTCAAACTACACAATTAAATTAAGTTTTGACTAAAATAACAATTCTGTTATATACCATGATGACATTTACACATCAAGTAAGCTTTAATTATGCATAATCAGGAAGAACCCGAATGTCAAAGATTCAGACCTTTTTCCAACAATTCAGATTGCTAATTGACAAAAATTGAAAAAGGACACATTAATAAGATTTTGGAATAATTTTTTTTATGATTTTGACTTTATTGTAATGAATAACCACTTCTCCTTGCCGTGTACTGATAATTACAGCTAAAATCTGTTTGTTTTCTTTGTAAAGCAACTTTTACTGCATTGTAAAATTTTACTTCTTTTTAGTTTGACTGTAACTTTTCCTAAATCTTAGTTTACAAACTTTCATCCATTCACAATAAATAATGAATTTATAGGCCACACAACAATCAATTATTACTCTCACTTTTCAAAATAAGGTAACTTGTTTAAGGACAGAAAAACACCTATTTTAAATATAGGCAATTATCCTAATTAAAATACATGGTAATTTCAATGATGTTTTCCTTCTTGAAATCTTAAATGCTTGCTCTATCAAATTATAACGGTTATTGTTTGGAGAGAGTTTAGAATTTCTTTTCAGACAAAATTAATTGATAAAAATATAGGTAGGTGCTTAATTTATGCACACAAGTATATATACTTTGACAAAGAAATTAATTGAGGTATGAAATGTTTGAAATGAGTTAATGTAGATTTCTTCATGAATTCAATTTAATTGCAATTTCCTTCCGTTTCTAATTAAGTATTGATTCAGTGTATCCGCCATCATGTTTTAGTGACAGGAAGTGTCTGATCTCTCTGAAATTCCATCTTGCCATAATTGTGCTTTTTGCTATATTTTTTTTACTGGTGAGTCATTTTTACCAACTAAAGAACTCTGCTTTTGAAGGTGTAGAAGCCTCTACAAGGCCAAGTGAGGTCACTGTCACACATTTTTTGGTGGAATCTTTATTTCTGTCTGTGAACAGGTCTTAGAAAATACCTTGAAGTTTAATTGATGTGTTGCTCATTAAAAGGCCTCATGGTCAATCCTCAAATTTCGGCCATTTTATAAACCGGAATAAATGGCCTCATTTAGTGTATTAAGTGAAATAATGAGTCATGAAACATCTCTAAGAATGATCACGTTAATAATGATGGCACTTTATCGTCTTGTCTTGTTACTGATATCGAACAAGATATATCACCAGTAGAATTTGTTATTGATATTCTAATGGTAGAAAGCATTTACTGTGTCATAAAAAAAACGACAAATGAGGTTTTGCAAGATGCAGATGGAGACCGTCTGTCACATGTGTCATTCTTAAAATACTTCCTGGTACCAATTAGACCCAGAATGCATCTGCAGAAATAACCCGAGGGAGTGATTAGTGAACGTTTGGCAGAGGGACCATCCAGTGTTTGACCATGCTCAAAATTCTACTGCATGTCCATCTTGTGTTATTGATTTTTGTGATTTAACATGGACAAGAATTTTACAGACTAAAGTTTGGTGCCTCTGGCATAAAACTGGTTTTAGGAGTTGCATGTTTGATGGATAACACATTGCATCTCCGGGGAACTGGAATCTGATAGTTTCTGTTTTTGTGGTCCGAGTTTTTGTGTCAAATACATCATCAAGGAACTCGAGAAAAGAGTTGCTAACAAAAGAAAGGATGTCTTGGTAATGGTTCTTCGTGCTTCAAGATAAGGATAGAGTTATATGGTTATGTTAGATCATTTAAAATTCTGAATAATTATTATTGATGATCTTTTTTCAAACGAAGAAAGGAATTTTCCCTGATTTAAATTTATATTGCATACAGATTAATTTTAATTTTTATAGTGTTAGAAGATGAAAACTGCGTATTTGACAACTATTCAGTCACTGCCCAAAACTATAAATATCTGTTCAGGGTTTTGCGTAACACGTAAATGTGCATCCACCATGCACAAATGTTACTATTTGAGAATGGATGCAGAAAAACAATTCACTGCATCCAGAGGGATGCACGATATTGTTCATTGTACCCAATACACATCTATGACTTTGCTAAGTTGTTTCTTTTCAGAGCATCAGTCCACATGTCAATGATTCATTCCAGGCTCTAAAGAAATTATCAAAACATACATTTCTCTTATTATCATGGGACCCTCTATTATTGCGGTAGTTAATGTTGTCGCCATTGGGATTATGAACGGCTACTGACATTTAGCATTTTATATATATTTTCAGTTGACTGATGTTTAATCTTCATTTCTGTCACAAATAATGTGACACATAGTCACAACCCGTTTAATACCATTGCGACAATCCCGATTGTCTCGTTTGACCCGGAAATTGAAGCAACTCTCTATTATCGCGGTATTGCTATTTTTTTTACTATGGCACGCGGTACAAGCAGATGACACTGTGAAACGTTTACTAAGACAAGTAAGGAATCTAAATAGTTTGATCATTAAAAAATATTTAGGAATTTCATTCACATTAGTAATATCATCATGTTTTTAACCCAAACATCTGAAACTTCTGTTCATTTGGATACAAGGTAACAATGACGTTACAAAATTTTGTTTTCCACCTTAAAACGTTCCATACAAGTTGATGCCGTGTGTAGAGTGAAGTTGCATAATACGTCACTTCCTGTTATATTTGTATCACGGAAAAATGCAAATGTCCTTATAGTTGTCGCAGAATTACTCTTGACGAAGTAAGTTTTGATTTATGCTAGATGTAATGGCAGT